TTTACGGTTACGTCCGTACTACGTCGGCGGACGTACGTACGGTACGGTCGTAGTACTTCGTCGTACGTAGTACGACTACGTACGTTACTTACGTTGGTTAGGTACGTACTCTCTCTCTCTCTCTCTCTCTCTCTCTCTCTCTCGATGTGAGTGTGGGGGTTGGGGTTTCTTCAAAGCAGTCTCTCTCTATCTGGGGTTTGCTGAAAGCTCTCTCTCTAGTTTTGGTAGGAGTGCTCTCTCTTTCTCGGAGTTTACTGGAAGCTCACTCTCTCTATCTCACTTGGAGAACTGGTTGGGGAGATTATAGTTCGGAAGTTTTGAATTCTCTCTCTTTGATGGAATCCTGTCATCCGGAATTTTGGAATCTTTCATCCGTGAATCGGAATCCCTCTTTTCAAAAGTTTAGAGATAATGAGATCAAAAAATAAAAGAAAAAAGCTGCTCAATTTAATGAGCAGCGACTATGCACTCGAATTTTAGACTTTCCACTTTTCTACAAGCTTTATTTTCACATTAATTTCCATAAATTTTTAAGTAATAAATGAGATGTAATATATGAGGCTCCCAATTAATTACCCGATGTCTATGTCCTTGACTTACTAGTTTAATGCTTACCCCAAGTTATCCCCAAATTTCAATGAAACTTTCCATTCTAACTTTAATCAAAATTTGTAGTGTTACCGGTGGCAACGAGTTTCTTAGCCCAGCCCAGCCCTTATTCCCATGGGGCCGAACCAACCTGGCACTGGCATTGGCCCTAGCCCCACCTTTGGGCCATAGTTTGTGACCCAGGCCCTACATTTTTTTGAGCCTGGCCACCTGGCCCATTGCCGGGCCTATACGGTGCATGGTGGATTACTGCACAGCTGTAGAGTCAAATTTACATTTAAGTGATATAAAAGAAAATCAATGTGATTGTCTTTTTTAAACCAAATTCAAAATTGTTTCTCTTTTTATTCTTATTGCTTAAGGAATTTTTTTATTAAATTTTTCCCACTTTTTCTTGTGTTTTCCTTTCCCGAGAAAACTCTATAGCCTTTTAACCTCCCTAATAATTTTGCTGAACATTTTATTTATGTCGACTGCCATAATGAACCCTACCAATTTAGGCCTAATGTTTTCGGCCATTAGATGTGAAATTGGGTTGTTTAATAGATACTATTGATAATAACTTCAAAAGGCTTTTATGGGATTTATAAGAAACATAAATAGTCCCATAATAATCTATGTTCCTCGAGGCAAGGGTATCAAATTCAACGCGACATTAATGGGTGTTTTGAAATAAGTGAATCACGTGATTAGGAAGGCAGGGCATAGTCAACACTAACGTCCAAGAGGTGAATATTATCATAATAAACAAATCACCAAACGACTTCGTGCATCACACGAGAATACTAAATCCCACTCGACTCAACTTTCTTTGCGTCCTCCCCCAACTACTTTTTGAATCATGATTTTTACGCAAATACTAGCGTTTATAGCAAGGGTCGATGCATCCGTAGGAGGTAAGGTGCACTTTCAAATTTTATCATGGTATATAATTTTTATGTAAAATATTTTTAAGATTATTTTAAAATTTATTTTTTATTATCTAATTATAAAATTTTAAATTTAAAAAATGGTTAAAGTCAAGTAGATCTATAAACATATGAAAATCTTGAAACTTGACGGTCTAGATAACATGTTGTAAAATACACTATTTTTGAGACTTGAAATCTTATTATTTTTCATGGTCGTACATCGTACATCGAGATGATCAAATCAAAAGGCTTTTCAACATTTTTTAGGTGCATCCGTAGTTCTACATTACAAGGTTGCATCCTTATATAAACTTTTTCCTTATAACAAAGACCCTCTCAAGTAAGAAACTTATGAGTAGAAAGATAAAAATACCCCTTTTGGTACACCTTCCCTTCACGTATCATCCGGCATTGAATCGACAAAGACGGTCCGACACATATTTATGTTGGACCATAACCCAAATCGTACGACAGCAGTTTGTTAGTAAAAACAAATGCCAGACCAACTATAAGAAAGTGCCCAACTGCAATTAAGAATTGCTAGACCACATTACCAAATTGGGGGAGTGCATCCAAAAGAAACACTGCTGGATCATAACTAAGAATTGAGACCGCTATTGAAAATTGTCGGACCGCAACTAAGAACCGGTAGATAGGATTACTAAATTGCTAGACCGGGGAGTGCATCTAGAAGAAACACTGCTCGACTGCAACTACGAACTGCATGACCGCCATTGAGAACTGTTGGACTGCAACTAAGAACTGTCAGACCGCATCAGCAGATTGCTAGACCGGAGAATGTATCCAGAAGAAATGCAGCTAGACCGCCATTGAAAACTGTAGAACCGTTCTAAAATTTAAAATAAACTTTTAAATTTAAAATGTAATTTTTATGACATTTATTGGAGCATTGTTCATATGATATTTATGAACGATACACTTTACACAAGGTCCATCCTTGGGATGAAAGTTTATAAGCCAGTGGCTCTTGTGCTCCCTGACTGATGCAACACTTTTCCTTGTGTAAACGATGCCAAAAGATATTATACTCTTGTGGGAGTATACTGTCACGTAAAACCCTACCTAGAATGAATTTTAGGACCCACAAATTTGGGACGTAACTTCTTCAACCCAAAAATTAACTTCAATTAAAAATATATAATAAAAAAACCCTAATTACACCTTTTATGCACTTGAAAGAAATAATGTCTCGAGATTGAATAGAGTCCCTCAAGATCTAAGTATTAGAAATTTCTTTTGAAAATAATCATCAAGTTATTTTTTGATGGTTACCAAAATTTCAGATCGAAAAAATCCTCCCAAATGGATCTTTTGACAAAAGGGAGCGGTAAGTAAATTATACTCACAGAGACGGATGGGGCCTGGCATCTATTGGTCGTTCTCTCCAAATAGGAATTTAACATGGCTGTATGCTTTTTCTTTTTTACTTTTATTAGAATAAGCTCTCTCACCATCTCTTATTTAAAAGGGAAATTTACATAAAATTTTCATTTTGTTCTTGGAATTGAACAATAGTCCCCTATGTTTCATATTTTACCTTTAACTCCTACCCCTTCATAGCATTGAGTTATTTTGATCTTAGTTTATATTTTATAAATTGTATTAAGTTCATATTTGAGATGTTCATCCTCCTTGCCATCATTTATGTGGTAAATTTTCAAAAAAATCCATAAAACAAGACTCAAGGGCATTTTCATAATCTTAGTTATTTATTTATTTATTATTATTATTATTACGGACTTCTACTAAGGTAGGCTTCATATGCTTGAAATGACTATCATACACCTTTTCGCGAGCTAGGGAAGCAGAATTACAGTGAGTATGGTGTGACATGTTTCAGGAGGCGTTACAACAATGGAGTCATTCTTGAAGAAATTCTTTCCAAGCGTTTTCAGGAATATGGCATCAGCCAAACAGAATGTATACTGTGTTTATGATAGCCAACTCCTCACTTCCTTCACGTCTTCACTCTACATTGCTGGTTTGGTGGCCTCACTTGGGGCCGGGAAGGTGACTCGAGCCATGGGCCGCCGCGCAAGCATGCTACTAGGGGGCTGCACTTTCTTGGCCGGAGCTGCCATCAATGGCGTGGCCGTGAACATTGTTATGCTTATCTTGGGTCGAATCTTGTTGGGTTTCGGGGTCGGCTTCACCAACCAGGTAATGCAATCGCCCTCGTAATTGTTTTTGAAGACTCTTATGTACATCTATTTTTCCTTGTCTGAAATTAAAATACACTATTTCATCAGCGAGCGGGCTGGCAGGAACTTTTCTTTATTTATATATATATATATAAAAGAAAATATCACATGTTGTCAGCGACAGTGTCAGCCAACGGTCTTAGATAAAATCTGAGTCTAATCTAATAGTCACGATCTTATTTTATATTTACATTTTCATTTTTTTTATACAAAACCAAATTACTTGAATTTTGAGCATCTATTCTTCAAAAATAATAGAATCTAAGAAAAAGATAAAAAAAATTAATTCACAAAATATAAATTGATCAAAATACCCCCAAAAAGATTCGAAGGTATTTTGATCAATTTTTATTTTACAAAAAAAAAAATTATATTTTTATTAAGTGAGTCTTGATGAGAAAAATGAACACTTGAAATTTCAAGTGATTTTGATTTGTAGAAAAACAAAATTAAAAATTCAATCACAAAATGAGGTTGTAACTATCAGAT